GCGGTTATAGCCTTGACGGAAGGTCTGACCAGTGCATAAGACTGCATTTGGGAGGTAACAAGATGGGATTCTGCACCAGGCTTCACACGTCTGAAAGCAGCCTATGCAGTATTGGCCACAGTCGTGGAAACATCTTCCGTTTGGAGTATTCTACCAGCAGTTGTTTGCTCATCAAACCAAGAAAGTTCTCAGAAGATAACTTGACCTTTTGTTTCTGATGTTTCTGAGAAATAAATGGCATGAGCATGTTTATTTAGATGTCTCTTAATTGTGCTGTAGGACAAGTAGAAATACATTGATGTAGAGCAGTTGATTTAGTTTACAGCATGGAAATCAACTTGGATAGCAAGAGTGAGATTTGCAAAGTAGACAATTTGGAAAATTCAGAACGATCATGCTGTGAAATAACTCTCTTGTCTTAGGCATGCTGGCTCTAGTCCTGTGTGGTAGGGAGCTGGGCAAGTAGGTGTGCTTAGTTCTCCCTTTGCAAAAACTTCTAGTGTGGAGTGTGAGGTTTTTTGTTGGCTCAGATGACTGGAGGCACTGGAACCTGCCCCTGTGCCAGGCTGCCCTTGGAGGTTGCAAGTTTCTGGATGTACTGTCTGCCTCTGTTCCTGGCTGAGTGCAGCCCCACAGAGATTTTTGTGGCATTATACACTTTCTGTAAAAGTTGCTTGCTTAGGCAGAATCTGCTCAATTACAGAAACAAACATGGCCTTGGAACTTCAGTAAACTGTTAAACTATGTCAGCACCATCCACTGCTACTTTATTGCCTGAGTGGTTATGACAGCTCCGTTTTTGTTCATGCTTCTTAGTTTACTGCTAAATACTGATGATCAGTATGCAGCTTAAATAGCTTCCTTCTTAGGCCAGGAAGCTCTCTACACTGTCTTCTCCTTCAGCAAATAACTGTCTTGATCAGTTTTGTTGGCGGGAATTTCTTGACCTTGTTTAAAAGAGGTGAATAAATATTGCTGCCAGTCTCAAATTAGGCTGACAGCTTTCCTGAAGCAGGCAGTACCCTGAGGGGCTATTGATTTCTTGCTTCTGTGACCAGAGGTTTATCATGCGGTACCTCTTACTGGGAGTTTTTGACTAGATGCGTGATAAGAGATTAAATCTGAAACACCTTATGGCAGCGTGGAGCATGGGCAATACCGTATCTTTATTTAAAGATAAATCATGAGTATGGAACCCGTATTCGGTGCTCTACCTCTCAAAAATGAGTATTTGGCAGGTAAAGGAAAGCATCTACTGTATACTGATGCTGCCTGGCTCTAAAGCTGTGGGGTTTTAAAGTGTGTGGGGTTTTTTTTGTTTGGTTTTTTTTTGGGTTTTTTTGTGTTTTGTTTTTTTTTTTAACTTCGTGTGTCCAGTGTAGCTGCAGACTTCCCCAGGGAGCAGCCCCAGTTGTGTAATTCCCATTTCCCTAGTGTAGCCTCTCTTAGTTCAAGGGCCTGATCCCACAGCAAAACCAGAAATACCCCAGCGTGTTACCTGCATGGGTCTGCTTTGTTCAAGTAGTTTATTCTGCAGCGTATGGTTGTTGGATCCAGCTGAGACAGCTACATCTGATCAAGCGTAGTGACAAACTGCACCTTAATGGCTTGGGAAGTGTTAGGTGCAGTACAGTAACTTTCCCTGCTACTGTCAGAAACTTCACCCTCAGCAAATCTGCACATGTTGCATCACACCACACTGTCACTTGGGGAGGGAAGCATTTCCACATCTGCAGAGTATCTGAAAATTATTGCTCTGTTGCTGTACTCTGGTTGCTTTCTGCTATCATTTGTTTGAAAGGTCTGAATTCTAAGAATCTACAAAATGGAATTAAAAACTACTTTATGACCACAGGAAGACTGGTTTGGAGGAAAAAAGGATGTTCTTGGTTCTGTTTCATGGATAACTTAAAAAAAAAACAACAAACAACTGTATGTATATCTCAAGACAAATTGCAACTGTGGTCACCATTTCGAGGAGTTTTAACTACCACTAGCTGGTGATGCAGTGGGTGGTAATTCACAGGTGGTGCTTCGTTGATCATCTGTTCATTTTCACTTCTTCTTGTCCTTCATGCAAATTTGTGTCAGAGCCTTGTGTCCTGTCCCTTGGCCGCAGCTCTTAAGGAACTTTTCAAAAACTCTGCAGTAGGTGACTGCGAAATATATCCGCGGCCGTTTGCTTTCCTGCTGCTCTACCTTCTTGGTTGTACCTATCGACTCATTCTTCACCAATCTTAACAGTTTGCCAAAACCTTTAAAACTTCAGTGGCTGGGGTGGGATATGCTACCTCCCAGCCGCCAGGGGGAGCCCGAGCGCATGCGCAGGGCCGCCGGGCCCACTCC